CTGACACAGCTCCACTTGTCAGACAGAAGGACACCGTGCCCCACACAGGGGTACCCATGTGGACACACACACGGGTTTCAGTACCAAGGGTAAAGCTGGGAAAAACAAGATCAAGAAATTCAAATTCATATTGAGAAATAGTAAAGAAATACTGTTCAGTAGCACTGCTGGGGAAAAAAAAAATCTACTTGTGAGGGCAAGAAGGACTGAAAATCACAGGAACAAAGAATAGTTTGAGTGTGAAGGGATCTTAAAGATCACCTATTTCCAAGCCCCTGCCATGGGCAGGGAACCATGAGAGGGGTCCCCTTTCTGCCCTGGTTTGAAGGTTCTGACCCTGAGCACACTCAGCTCTGGGGTTTGTGTCCCTGAGCACCCCCAGCTCTGGGGTTCCTGTCCCTGAGCACCCCCAGCTCTGGGGTTTGTCTCTGAGCTCACCCAGCTCTGGGGTTTGTCTCTGAGCTCACCCAGCTCTGGGGTTTGTCCCTGAGCACCCCCAGCTCCTGCAGTGATGCCACCCCAGCTCACCCAGATGTTCTGCCCTTGTGTAAGAGGCAGGATCACGGAGATTGGGGAATTACAGAAGTGAATATTTCAGAATAGGAGGAGAAAAGAAGATAAAGAGACTGTCACAAGTGTTGTGCTCTCTGTGCTAAGGTGGCTTAGGGCTGATTCTCCTTCCTGCTCTGCCGAGGCTTTAACGAACGGCACCGACTGAAAGTCTTCAGGAGAAACTTCAGTGCACGAGTCCCATCAGCACAGTGCACAGGAGCTGTAATCCCCTTTGAGCTCGTCTTGAGCACTCAGAGAAAGGCACCAAGCTTTTCCAGACTCCTTCTGCTCTAGCCTTCCCAACAAGCTGGGAGCATCCTCTCCTCAGTGTGGAGATCCAGCCCCTGCCTCAGGGACAGGCAGCTCTGCAGGAACAGCTCTGGTCCTGCAGACACGGCTCGTGCTCAGAGCCAGCCTGGCTGGGCTGGAGCTCTGGTCTCTGGGATCAGGCTGGCTCAGGGAGCCGTGGGAAGGCAGAGGGAAGAGGAGAAGGTGGCAGACACAGTCTTGCAGCTCCAGGCATCCCCCTCCTCCCCCGCGTGTGCTGCAGCGGGGTGAGGGAGCACCGAGGGCTGCTCAGAGCACAGCCAGGGTGCTGGGGTGTGAAACGGGCCATTGGGGGAGAGAGAGCCTTAATAAATGCACTCCAGATCTTTCATTTATCTGTTAGGAGGCATTCAAGTGGTCTTTTGCTAACGACTTCAATATATATATTTCTTACAGATAGCAATTAACCTTCTGGTACAGATTAATCTTTTTAAAAAAATCAAAGATGAATTAATCTTTGAAATTCAAGTATTCAGTAGTTTCATTAATAATCTGAAATTGTCCTTTAGGTTTTCCATAATTAGACCATTCCCCTAATTTATTAATCCCACAGACTGCAGAGCATGTTTCAAATCTTCATCTCCTGCCACAATGACATATTCAAACTCACTTGAAGTGCTCATAATAAAAGTCACTTTGTGAAGAATTATTAACTCAGAGGATCAAGCAAAGTCTTTATATGCTAAAGCATATTTGAAAACTAAGCAGGGGTAGCACTTTCTACTCATCCTGAGATTTCCTAAGATCCTGGCTGATCAGAAACAAGTTGGGATAAAACACTGAATTTAGATAATTAGCTCGCTGCAGACTCGAGGCCAGAGATAATAAATGTGCTGGTACCTATGGACTAAATCTTCCTTTCTGCCTAAAGAACCTCATTATGAGCTACAAGACAATTGTCTGGGAGCGGATGATGCCTGTGCTCTGTGGTGTGCCTCAAATTTGGGACCAAATGCCTCCCCCTGGGGCTGCTCCTGGCAGCTCCCCTGGTCCTACAGGGCCATGCAGGGAGAACCAGCACAAGGAGCTCTGCTCCAGCACCTCTCCCAGCTCTGCTCCAACACCTGTCCCAGCTCTGCTCCAACACCTGTCCCAGCTCTGCTCCAACACCTGTCCCAGCTCTGCTCCAGCACCTCTCCCAGCTCTGCTCCTCATGGCCCCAAGTGCCATATCCAAATGCTTTTGAACACTTCCAGGGCTGGTCACTCCACACTGCCCTGAGCAGCTGTGCCAGGGCTGGACAACACTTTCTGTGAAGAGGCTTTCACGAACACCCCACCTGACTCTCTCCTGATGCCCCTCGGGGCCGTTCCCTCTCCTCCTGCCCCTTCTTCCCTGGGAGCTGAGCCCGACCCCCCCCCGGCTCCCCCTTCCTGTCAGGGGGTTGTGAGAGCAACAGCACAACTCCTGATGGACATTACAAGTCTTAGGTCCCTGGAAAATGAGGTAAACCACCCCCAAACCCCTCTCCCGCTCTCCATCCTCCCCTTACCCCTTCAGGGCATGCTGAGTACACCCTGCAAGCTGGGAAGAAGAGGTAAACAATCCCCAGCCCAACCATTTCAAGAACTGAACTCTCTAAGGAAAAAAATTCCTTCTCCTGTTGCATCTCTGTTGCTTCTGGCCCGAGTTTTCCAATCAGTGATGGCCCTGACCAGCACCCCAAGCACCCCACTAATCCACTCTCATGGCAGCAGCAGGATCACCACCCCATCCCTCCCTCCCACCCTGGCGGTGTCACAGGAGCACAGCTCATGTCACTCTGCTTTGGAAAGATCCTGCACAGTTACACACCTCACTCAGGCCACGTGCATTTGGACCCTTGAAATACATTTAATATTTGAAGTGCAAATTATCTCAGTGACACCTCTCTACTTTATGAAAGCCCCTCTCCTCTCTGCTCCCCTCTGTTCACTTCACGCATTCCCAGCAGCTCTTGACCACTCCAGTGTTTTCAGAGATCCAGGAGCTGCTAAAGATCTCCCCCAGCCACAAGGCAGGGAAATGAGTGGTGCTCATTGCTCCTTCAGCAGGCTCCTTCCCAACCTGCTACTCCAGCAATCCCCTGGCAGCCTGTTCAAATCCTTTCCAGGCATAAGTGTCCCTATGGAGACACTGCCACCTCAGGCACTGGGAAAACAACCCCAAAAATGTGGCATCCTCCACACCCTCTCCCCCAGGCAGGGACATTGCAACGTGAACCCCCAAGGCAGCACCTGGAGAGGGTCACAACCCATCCCTAAAGTCAGGGAACAAGGTGCCGTTTTTCCACAGGGATTCAAGGTCAGGACCTGTATCTCCAGGCAGCACAGCTCCATTAAACCACCAGACAACAGGATCTTCTTACATTCCCAGGGTTTTACAACCCCAGGGAACTTGTTGACAGGTATTAAATCCCCTCAGAACTTCACCTGAGCTTTATCTGTGCGACACAAGGAGTTCAGCACAGCCCTAAGAAGCAGCAGCAGCGCCGGGGATCGGATTATTCCTGTTCCAGAGCCTCTGGAAGATGATGCACTATCCCTGTTAGTGCCTTCATCTCCTAGGCACGACCTACATCCCCCTGCATGCAGAGATGCTGTCAACAGGGGGTGGGTTTGGGTTTGTGCTTTGTTTTTTATGAAGGATGTGGAATTACATGTTGACTACACGAACAGCTCGCATAATAAATTTAATTCTCCAGAAGGTCTATAAAGTGGGACAACATTCTTCACTGGAGTTTGTCCTTGACACAGAGAACATATTTCGGGTATGATTTTGCAACAGTGGATATTTGCAAATAAAGCCAATTTTAAATTATAATGAACTCTGGCATTTGTCACTTCCTGCTGTCTTAAATCCAACCCCATTTTCTTTAATACCACATAAATATGCATTTGTAGGAACAGACACATTTATGCAAATGCAGGTCCCTCCTGTGACATCAATAGAAGGAAACAATTCCAGATCCCACTCTCCAAAGCCCCTTTCTTTTAAGCACAGGCACCTTCTCCACGTGCTCTGGGATGATGCTGCCAGGAGGGATCCATCAGCTCCCTGAGACAGTTTGGGAGCGAGCTGGTGCTTCTCCTGCAGGCAGAGCTGCTGCTGATCCAGCCTTGGAACAGCCACAGGGATGGAAACCTCCAGTGGCTGCTCCAGAGCAACTCCTACCCTGCCCTGCCCTGGGCACTGCTGGGCACTGACCCCATCCCCTGAGTTGGGACTGGGCTGGTTTTATTTGAGGCAATGCCAGGGCAGGCACAGGGTGGGAGGTCTGTGTTCATTCTGGGAATACAACAGAGCTTATTCCTGCACAACAACGTTGTGTTCCCCATCAGGCTCTACCACTGAAGCCTTCTGGAACCTTGCACTTATCACCAAGAATGAATTACAGCATCTGCTGATTTCTCCTTCCCAGCACAGGATCCAACTCAAAACATTTCAATTCCCAAACCCTTCTGATTCTGGATTGCAAATCAGCTTGCCAAGGATTTGTACCTCTATTCCCCAAAGAGCCAGCTAAAGTCCTCCTACACTCTGGTGTCTCTGGGGAAAATTTAGAGCTCTTTACCCTGAAGAATAAGTTACAGGGATGGGGGTATGAGCACACAGCACTCACACCTTCAGCACAGGCCCCCTTCTAGGTTCTGTAGCAGAAAACAAAAGCAAACTGCCAAACTGGAGGGAAAGATTAGAATTATCTCAACTGAACTAGCCCAGAGACTGAAAGCAAAGCAACCCCAGCCAGGCAGAGATGTGAGAGCTGAACAAAGTGTGACACAAACGAGTGTCAGGGCACAGGACCCCGAGCTGGGGAGAGGGAAAACTCAGCATTCTCCAATCTCCCTTCTACCCATGGCAACACCACAGGATGCCCTCCAGGGCAACAGCAGGAGCTTGGTAAGGCTCAGGGTTCTCTATTTCCCCCAGAAATGACTGAAAGCCACTGAGGTTTCAAACTCTGAAGCTCCATAAGCAATTCAGGAATGAGAGTATCTAGGAGCCATTGCAGAGCATTGTAAAGAACTGAAGCAACCTTAGAATCAAATGTAAGTTCTAGAAAAATAATATCACATTTGGTACAAAGTAACATTCATCACTTCCACAGCATTGTCTGGAGGGGGACGGGCGTTGCCTACCTGCCTCTCTGGAAATTTGCATGAAGGACTCGACTCCTTTTTCTCCATAATTCCCTTCAGATGCCAAAGTGGATACATAATTCCATCCCAAAGCTTTCACAATGTCCACCATTGCTTGTGCTTGGAAGGAATCTGGAGGAACCACACGTGAGAAGAAATCATAGCGCCTGTCATCACTCAACTCTGGTGCAGTTGAGGCATAACTGATTTGTGGGATCTGTAGAAAAAAATAATTTCTGATAAATATACATATTCAAACACTCACGGCACTTCTTGCAGCAGTCAGCTAAAGCTGGTGGCTCCAGCTGAGCTTTGCCTTCACTGTTTCCATCTCTGTTTCTCCACCAAGTTCCCTTACAAGGTACAAGCCAAAGAAACAATCTTTCCATTGACTTCAAGTTACACAAATAAAGTGGTTAAACAATTGAAGACAACTGTATATGTGCACATCCATAATGTCTTCCTTTCAGGCAATCTAAATCAAACACAGCACACAAACCATTGTAATCACTGTGTCCTTTTGTTGGTGTTCTGGTTTTACCAGCATCAGGTGATTTGGGACCCTGAATGTAACCAAGGTTAAATCTCCACCTGCCATCGCTGGCTGAAAGTCAGGAAGACTCTTCATCAACTTTTGGAGAATGAAGGGTCCTGACTTAAGCAAAAATATGTTTATTTTTTATACTTTCTGATGGAGAACAGTCGTGGAAGTTGCTGAGCATGGGCACCTCTGTCCCACAGCCACAGCCTGGGCACAGTTCAGCTCTGTGCCAACACAGCAGCCATGGCTTTCCTCCTCCCAGCAGAGTGTGACAGTGACTTTTGCAACAGAGAGACCAGAATATTGTTCAGGACTATTTTCTCCTTGATACCAAAGTCCCCGAGCAGTTATTGAGCTGACAGCATGTTAATCCCCAGACCCATTATGCAATTGTTTGAGTAACAGTCTGAGACTGCTCCTTAAATTAAGGAACCTGCCATAACTCTCACTTGAGATGCCACAGAGGGAACAAACAGCTTTGCAATATACACAAACATGATCGTATATAATGATCTGAGCCTTCTGCCTCAGGAAAGGTCAGCACTTCATGCCTCAGCACAAGCGTCTTCTGCATTCTCATATTTTGTCTCTGCAGAGCACTCTACAAGTATTTATTAGCTTTCCTGCCTTCTCAGAAAAATAAACATTGTATTTCCCCAGGATCAGCTCCGCAAAGGGCTCAGCACCTTTGATTCCACAGAGATCAGGAGCACAGGAGAGCAAATTTCCCCAGGATACACATTATATCTGTGCAGTTACGTGGACATTTGCAGCTCCTACAGCAGAGGAAAATCAGCCACTTAAAGCAAAATTGGTGCTGCAGACCCAGCAGAGTGAACAGAGAGAGAACTTTGTATGAAACATTTCACAGTGATTAACTACCCCAACATCTGTTGGTATTCAACCTAAACAAACATGTCAACTTTCACAGAATCATAGAATTCCCTGAGCTGGAAGGGACCCACAAGGACCATCCAGTCCAACCCCTGGTCATGCACAGACACCCCAACAATCCCACCCTGTCCCTGAGAGCGTTGTCCAAACCCTCCTGGAGCTCTGGCAGCCTTGGGGCTGTGCCCACTGCCCTGGGGAGCCTGGTCAGTGCCAACCAGCCTCTGGGGGAAGAATCTTTCCCTGAGATCCAACCTGACCTTGCCCTGTCCCAGCTCCAGCCCTTCCCTGGGTGCTGTCCCTGGTCACCCAGAGCAGAGGTCGGAGCTGCCCCTCGGGAGGAGCCGCAGACCCTGCTGGGCTCTGACCTCAGTCTTGTCTCCAGCTGAACACACCAAGTGCCCTCAGCTGCTCCTTGTGTGGCCCCTCAGACCCTTCCCCACCCCTGTGTCCCTCCTTTGGACACTCTCCAACAGCTTTAGATGTTTCCTTTATTGTGATACCCCAAACTGCCCCCAGGACTGGAGGAGAGGCCGCCCCAGGGCAGAGCAGAGGGACAATCTCCTCCCTGGACCAGTGATGCTGGGCTGGTGCCCCCAGGGCAGGACTGGCCCTCCTGGCTGCCAGGGCACTGCTGGCAGTGAGCAGAGCTGGGGCTGTCACTGCTGGAGATGTGGATGGAGATGTCACTGGGCAGGGCCGTGTCCCTGCTCTGCAGCTGCACAGGAGCTGAGCAGGCTGAAAGCTGGGCTGCCTTGGGTCTGCAGTGCAAGGCAGCAGTTGTCTCCAAAAGCCTTGCCAGATTTATTTTACATCTGGGGCTCGTGGACAGCAAGACTTTAGAGCGCTCCAGTCACAGAAGATTAAAGAAGTTCCAACTGAAGCTGGTGGAGGAGCCCAGAGGGTGCTGACCATGGGGATGGATGGACTCGCTCAGCACTTTGCTCAGGGGCAGCAAAGCTGGGGCAGCTCTGAGAGACACAGAGTGATTACAACAACTGATCAGTCCTGAGGCCCTGGCACAGGATCCCAGAGGAGCTGTGGCTGCTCCACCCCTGGAAGTGTCCAAGGCCAGGTTGGACAGGGCTTGGAGCAACCTGGGCTAGTGGAAGGTGTCCCTGCCCATGGCAGGATGGGCTTTAAGGTCCCTCCAAACCCAAACCAGTCTGGGATTCTGTGATCAGGGTTCTTCATTTTTAATCTACCTGAGGAATGATTTTCAGCTGACACCAACTGCTGTGGGTGCACAGAAAATGCTGGGCACTCCAAAAAAGAGTTAAATTCCTAATTTGTCCATGCCTACGACTGCTGTTGTAAGAAATGACTGGTGACATTTAAGTGGAACATTTGACCTGTTTAACCCACTATTAATTAGACAAGCAACGAGTGCACACCTACAGTCCCCCCCTCACCTGTACTAACAGAGCCAAGTGCTGCTTTTTTCAGTTACAAATAAAAGAAAGAATGAAATATCAATTTTTATCTGCGGCAACTCTTTGTATTCCAACTTGCCAACAACATTTTTTTCAGCTAAAAATCAAAAGGAGCATATTCTGCACTCTTAAAAAAACAAAGCTGCTTCAGAATTGGCTGCATTGCTCATATTCCTTAGGAGACTTTTTGGATTTTAAGCCTTTTTCCACTGTTCATAAATTATGAACTACTTCAGGCTGGAGTATAAAAAGCATATATTGGGGGTTTTACCAACACTTCTGACACAATACATAAAAGGAACATAAAGTTATATGTATGAAGGGTAGAGTTCTCCTCCCATTTCTTTTGAATACAGAGAGAAAAGTCTTTCAATGGATGTGAACTGCAGCCATTAGAGTTGCACTTTGAGTGTCAGAGCATGTTGCAGACACCTGCAAAAGATATTTTCCCTTCCTGCACAGCATCCCAAGTGTCCAAACTGAACACCTGTTTGCATCAGCTAAAATCCATCGTCTCAGCCTTTCTTCTCCTTTTTTAACGTTCACATCCAGTTGGATGTGGACAAACCTCCCCCAGACTCAGCTGGAGCCTTTGTCCTGTGTATTAGGATCCTCCACATTACTGGTGTGTTTTTATTGAGGATGGAAAAACACATCTTCCTGGTCCCTCCAGTCAAACCCCAGGGGCCAGACCCCCTCTCCTCTCTGAGATCTCTTCCCAGGGCTCACACCCATCAAACCAACAGCCAAAAGTCATCCCCCATGGCTGCTCACCAGGGGAGCTCCCAAATCTGCTCCTTCACCTCCTGTCAAAGCTGAAGTGCCCTTGAAAACAAAAATGGATTGACCCAGTTCATCAGGACCCAACCCCAAACTGGCCAATGTCACCATTCCAGGGAGAATAAGAGGAATTTAATGAGGTTGTTTTGTTTTATGTTTTTTTTATTGTTTGCTTGTTTTTTAATTAAATGGATAAATATTTTCTGTCTCTTCACTGAGGTATTTTTCTTTCATTTTTGATAAAATCAATATGCTCTTTGTTACCAATATCTCACATTCAAAACTGGAGTTTAAAGGAGGCAGCTTTTTCTCTCATTACAGGTTTCCTGTTTTCTGTTCTGAAACGTGTCTGAAACCTCCCAAAGCTCTCAGGAACCCCAGCCTGCTTTCCAAATGGCTCCAGCATCTTGGCAGAAGGGCTGTGGTCCATGAAGCCCAGGGGACCCCAATCCCCCCGGCCCTTCCCCAGCCTGTGCTCCTGCTGTCTGTCCTCAGAGCTGCCCCCTTTGCCTCCCCCCTCTCAGGACACAGAGAACTGGAGCTCTCTGAGGAACTCCTGGGTTTGGCAGAGGAGGGAGCAGATCTCTGCTGTGGGAAGAAGGTTTTCCTGAAGTCTCTGGGTTTTCAGGACTATGGCAAACATCCCACTCAGGAGTTTTCCATGTGCTTTGCCTGGCTGATGTTCTGCTTACAGTGGGGGTGAGTGATTAATGCTGGGAACATTGCTTTAGTCAGTGATTAATTAATGTTAATTTATTTTTAATATTAAACATTATTCTTCATTTATTTCATTTTCTTCTGCTAATGAAGAGCTGTCTCTGGATCCCACTTGATGTCCTGCTTGAAAAGCAGGTCCTGCTTGTGAGCAGTTGACCCAAGAGCCAGGGCAGAAACGCACCAAGGACCAACTCATCTCTCTGATGGGCTCCTAAATCACTCCTTCCAGCATCAAACATCTCCCAGCAACAGTTTTGGAACAGGGTATTTCAGAGCAGAACCCAACTGAAATACAAACTTGCTGTTCCAATTTTTCATTTCAAGCTCATGTTGTGTGATCTCATCCTGTATCATCCTCCTCCTGCTCCCCCTGCTCAGCTGACCCCTCTTTCCAAACAAAACAAGACCTGGTGAGTTCCTCGTTGACAGCCAAGTGTCTCAGCTGGGAATACCCAAGAGCCCCAGGGCCAGAGGACAAACCAACTCTCCCTGGAGCTCCAAGAGCTGCCAGAAGCCCTGGGTTTGCTGCCCACCCACCCCACCCCTGCCAGCACTGCTGCAGAGTCACTGCCATGGCCAAGGACCCCACAAAGCACCAAACCAGCAAATAATTATTGCTACTGTGCCACTTCAAATGGGATTGAGTTCGGCTCCATCTCCTCAGTAACTCATTAAGAAGTTAATAAAATGGAGCACCTGAACCCCCCTCACCAAGGACAGCAGCCAGAGAACTCGAGGAGAGGCAATTTCCCCGAGGGCCTGGGCAATTAAGATAATGCAGGAGAGCACCTATTGAGATATTAATGAGCTCCCACCAGGGCACTATTAAGTTCACAGTTTGCTGCATTTTTACTT